AAGAGACAGGGCCCACCCCGCTGCCACCGAGAGGCCTGGAGTTGTTCCGGGTGTTCCGTTCCCCCTCGGTACCCCCGGAAGGAGGCGGAGGGTAACGGCGGACGGGCCAGCCGGTCCGTGGGACGTGCCTCCGCGCAGGGGGGGTGACGCGGGGTCTTGTCCAGCCTGGGCGTGCCCGCGGCCTTGGCGTGTTGGCGTGGGGCGGGGTTCGGCGTTTGTCCCCCCGAGCTGTGGGGCTCGGCGTTTGTCCCCAGAGGTTTCAGGGCAGCCGCTTCCCGGCAGCGGTGAGGAGGTTGATGCCTGGTACCGGTTAGCCCTGGAAACTGTGTTGGAGATAATTCAGAGTCCTGTGCTTCAGAGATGACGGAGTGTTGCTTTGTAAGTGCTTTGTACGTGCTGGCCTTAAGAAATGTGCTAAAAAATACTTCTTGCCTGCTCTGTGTAACTCCGTATTTTTCAGGAATAGATTTATTCTGGCTAGAGTCCATTGGAGCAGGTGGACCTCGGCTAGGCTTGGGCCTGCTGAAGTATAGGCAAAGCCAGTCAGAAGCTCCTAATTAGGGAACTTGGTTTTAGTGCTGTTTAATATTTATTACTTCAGCTTGTTGCTGTTTCAGTGCTGAAAGCAGTCTGTCATTGCTTAGTTATTCAAAAGCAACTTAAAGCCGATAGTTGTGAAAGTGTGTCTTTGTCGTTACAGGAAGGCAATTTTAAGGCTGAATAGAGCTGTGATGCACATCTGTTTGATGAAGAAAGCACTGCCTTTTCATAGTCACTTTACAAAATTAGCTGGATTGAAAAGTAAGTAACTTTATTGTATGCTCCTGAGAGAATATTGAGTAGTTTTATAGTATCTTAATGTTTTGGGTGGGTTTTGTTTGTACTGTGTAATAGTGTGTAACAGTACATAAATTATAGCACTTGAGTAAAACTCGTATCTTTATTATTTAAGATGAGAAAAAATATGACAGAAGAAGCAAATGCAGATGATTTTCAGGTTCAGAATTTTCTCAAGAAGAAGAAGAGAAAAAACCACAAACAATACAAGGAGAGCCATGAGAATGATGAAAGACTCAGCTGTGCTTCTCCAGTGCTGTTTGAAGAACAAGCAGCACAGAGTGATGAAGGCTGTAAAAAGAAGAAAAAAACAAAAAAAAAGAGAGCGGAGCAACAGTATTCATTAGATAATTCTTCTGTAGGACTGGAACATGAAATTCGTAATGAAACTGGAGAGTATGCTTCCCAAAAGAGAAAAAGAAAGCAGAAGTATAGTGATAGTACGGATGAGCAAAGCGATGTAACTTACGTCACAGTAAATCATCATAGCACTGATTGTCAGGAGCTCAATGCTGATTACGTTTATTTAAAAAAATCTGTTAAGAAGAAAAGAAAAGAAAAATTGCCTGAGGAGGATGAGGCATGTGAGCTGCCTCCCCCTGAAATGCATGATAACAATGACAATAAAAGATCAAAAAAGAAGAGGAAGAAAAGACGCAGTAGTACCCAAGATATTCAGGAAGACACAGATGTAATCCTTGACCAGTCGCTGTTGTCATCTCCAGAGCAGAACAGGCCAGGGGAAGACACGGTTCGGCCATTACCTACAGCAGAGCGTGGTGTAGCCACACCCCAGCAGCGGCATGAACATGGTGACTGTGGTGCTGCTCCTGCCAGGAGAAAAGATTCTATGAAGGTACCTGCTAATTCTAAGCTGTCTAAAGCAGCTGATAAATCTCAAAAACGTCCAGTTCCTGGTGGAAAGATAAAAAGCTGTGTTTTTGTCATGGAAGAAAGCTCTTCAGAATCTGATGTACCGTAAGTTTGCGTTTTGCCTGTGGTTTTCTCTTCCCTCCAACCCCTGCCTGCCATACCCCAAATATGTTTCTACGTTCTCTGGGTCCCAGATGTTTCTTTAGTCTGTTTAGTATGTATTTTTAAAAAACAACATACTGTCAAGGTTTTTGAAGGTGTTATAGAGACCTACTTTAAGAGCTTAAAGAGTTTAATGATCTTGTGAAGATACAATGAAAGTTTGTAAGAATACACCAACGCTGCCTTCAACGTAGAATATTTTCTCCTATTTAAAAACTGTAGGTACGGAAATAGCTTATGTGCAAGCAATTCATATCTAGTAAAAAAAAAAAAAAAAGCGGGGAAAAAGGGATTTCATTTGTTAAATTTGGTATTTATAGCGAACGTACATGTTTTTACTAAGCAGCTAGTAAGCTCAACTAAAGATTTTTAACGTTCTGTGCAAACAAATGTTCACGTAAGTAGCTCTTGGTGCTTTTACAGTGTCTAGAACCTATAGTAAGAGCACTAGTAAGAGACAGATGGAAAAGTTCTGTGTTGCCAGTGGTAGCAAGAGACGCTCTTTCTTCTGTATGTCCATGTGTGAGAGTTTTGTGGGAAAGGTGCAGATTGTTAAAATCTCTTTGAGCATTGTAAGTATAGAAATTTGATAATAAATGACATCTGTGTTAAAAGGTTGGAAATTCAAGGAAGTGAATGTGTTATTTAATTAACATTCATTCTTTTAATGTAGAGATACTAACAAAATCTCTGTTTTGGAGCTCTGGTGTATTTTATTTTATGCTTTTTTTTTTTTTTTTTTAAACATCAGGACATCAGAACCTTTAACATCAAATAGAAAGGAGGACAAGAATAGTTCCTTTACCAAAATAGCAGCCTCCGATGAGCTTACTCTGGATGATGAAGAGTGCCTGGACTATAGCACGTGTTCAGTTGTGGATTTGGATACTGCAAAACAAGAATTGGAAGAGTTTATTCCTCATGTGAGGAATATATCGGACAGTTCAATCAAGAAGATGGCAGGAAGAGACCTAACGAGGTTTAAAGAGTTTAAAAAACAAGGTGAACTCTCCAAAATATTGTTGCAGTGAGGAAAGACTGTGCAGCTGTGTGAAAGCTTGACAGAGGGAAAATATTTTGTATCACATCTGCCATGTTCATGAAGTCTGGTTCACTTCATTCCAATGGACATGTTTTCTGTTTCTCTGCTTCATAACATCTACTTCCTCATTGTCAAATTACAGTCCAAGCCATATGCATACATTACCTGCTCCCAGCTCTTGTTTTGTCTCTTTTAGTTTTCCTTTTCACCTTTTGAATTTGTTGATCTTTTGTTATACATTTGGTAAAAAAAATGTAGTGTACAAGAGATGGTACTAGAGGTTTGATTTTTATTTTTATTTTTTTAATTTAAAATAAAACTTTCTGTGTGTTTTAGGTATTGCTGTCAAGTTTGGCAGATTTTCCCAGAAGGAAAATAATCAAATCCGGAAAAATGTTGAAGAGTTTTTATTGATGACTGGAATAGACAGTGCTGAAAAAGTCCTGTTTACTTCAAGGTATCCAGAAGATAAAGAAACTATCAATCGCCTAAAAGCAGAACATCTTTTTTGTGAAAAACTTTGTAAGTATTTAAGTTTCTCCTCAAATAGCTGAATGTTAAATTCCACAACCCAGTGATATGATGATGTATTTTTAAAAATTTTTGTTGAAAAACACTAATGTTGCTAAATTTGGCAAAAAAAAAGGAGCATGCTGCTGAGATTGTGTAGTTGATAATCTGGACAGTATACTGTTCTTACCTTGGGTGTGAAGAGTTTAGAGATTAAAATATCATCATGACTAGGAGCACTTACAGACTTTCAAACTTGTATTTGGGCTTTATGGCTTAAGGTGCATTATTTGCTAGGCATATGCTAAGCATGGTGACTTAATAATGGGAGGTGGGATTAAGTCCTATCTGAAATTGTCAACTGTTCTTAGAGCACATGAATAGGTGGTATATTTAGGACTGAGTGATGGCAGAAACTGCAAGAATGTAGGTTGTTAGCCGAAGTAGATAGTTTTTCAAGACTTGAGGAAAACAAAATTCTTATGGCTAAGATTCTGTTTGCAGGAGGAACATCTCTTCCTCTTTACTCATTTTGTTGGGCTCTTCTTGGCTGGAAGGCATTCACACTTTGTATGGTAGACATTGCTCATTTTGTAACATCTCTGATGAAGCCACTCAGTGCACCTTCTCAGAGTGAATGACAACCTGTAATGGATTTGGATACTAGCATTTATTTAAGGATCAATGAGGCTACAGATTTGTTCCTCCTTGGTTATTTCACACACAGAACGATTCTCTCTGCATCATCACATTTACCTGATGTTGACTTCCCTTCCCATCTGGGAGATTGCTCCTCGCCTGGGAAAACTGGGCAGAAGGTCATGTTGGTGTTAGGGGAGTTGCTTGCAGTCACCTCTCCTGGGCATCGCTGACCAAGATTATTATGTGTTCCCAGGTATTGGTCTCTGCAGATCTTCCCCCATTTCAAGAATCTTCCCTTTAGCCACAATCTTCACTTTTCTTTCTTTTTTCCCTCAATGTCCCCAGTCCCTGCTTTTCCCAATCAAAATAGTCTAGATGCAGACTCAAAATTCTCATCAGCCTCCTGACTGGTGGCTGTCTCGTGCCTCTCTATTAATGGGAGTATTCAGTCTGTACAATTTGTAGCTTGTGAGTAGCAGGTTTGTGCTTGAGAGTTCAAAAATTCAGTTTTCAATATTCACCCGCACATGTGCAGGCACGCACACAATTATTTACCAGCTGTCAGTATTCACAGTCTCACCATGGTTGTAACAACTATATCTTTGAAACTCCTCAGGAGAATCTGTTCAGACTATTTCCTGTGCAGTTACTGAAGTGTTGTAGAGTACGTTCTCCTGAACGGACAGAATCTATCATTAACATCACAGTCATGAAAATTTATGTTGTTGGGTTTTGGTTTTGGTTTGTTTTGGCTTTTTTTTTTTAAAGTGGCCTCACCAGTGTGAGAAATGTTTTTTAAAAATGAATCATTTACCTTCTAGCTGAGGGTATACCACGACCCTGGAGGCTGATATATTATCGAGCAAGGAAGATGTTTGACCCAAATAATTATAAAGGGAGGTAAGCGAGTCATTTGAGAGTTTCTGAATGCTAATATCAGTCTCTGATGTTTATTAGTACATTAAAAATGGATATAAATTAAGGTCATCTCTCCCATTTGTGCCAGTTACTGTGACTTAATTGACAGTTCGTTTTTCTGAGTAGTCCTTATCAGTTCCTCTGTTCTAATGAGTGACATTGAAATGCCTGTAAAGATTACAGCTCTCTTAAAATATTGGAATGGTTTGAATTTACAGCTGAAGCTGTGCCCATTTCCTCAACTAGGTATACTAAGGAAGAAAAAGAAAAATTAAAGAAGTATCATGCTATGCATGGCAATGATTGGAAGAAGATTTCTGAGATGATGTCCCGTTCTAACCTCTCAGTAGCTATGAAATACTCTGAAATCAAGTCGGGTATGTAATTTTAAGAAAGACAATTCATTCTGTGTATTGCAGTTTGAGAAGTTACTTTAACTGCATGTTGTATGTGCCCTAAAAAAATTAATTTGTGGTGGGTTTTTTTTCCAGACCACTGATTGCATTTTCCGGGGATAAGGGATAAGAACAGCCTCTGATAGAAAAGAATACAACTCTCTATTAAATGGAACTGCCATCTAAATAGGTGCTTTCAGGGGGAGTGTGGCAGGAGTTTGACAACCAGGTTTTAGAAGATAGAAACTAGGGATCAGTGCTATTCTTCAGTGATTGGGCTGAACTCCTTTCTCAAATCTGGTAGGCAGAAGAGTTTCTAGGAAGTGTGTTAAGAAGCTTGTCTTGAAAATAAGAATAATGCAAAGTGAAGCATTTGCTCTTTTGCCTTTTTTCCTAATCATTAATGATAAATTATGCTTTAACCTTATTTTTCAATTTTAGCTATCAACTATGGACCTTGGTCAAAGGAAGAGACCCAGAAGTTAATGCATGCAGTGGAGGAGGTGATTAGGAAAAGAACGGAAATGGAAGATGCAAATTCTCTTTTATCATCATCAAAGTCAAAACGAGATCTGTCAATTGACCGTGAGAAACTGTACCAGAAATTACCATGGACTGAGATTGAAGCTAAAGTGGGAACTCGCTATTGGAGACAATGTAAACAGAAATGGTAAGGTTTTATATTAAACTGAAATAGCAAAATGTGTTCTGGGGAGTATTTAACTATTTGGCGAAACTGTTTGTACCATGATGGTTGTTTGGTAAGATAGGTAACAAATAGCTTGTAGACTACAGGAGAGGCGTTGCAAATGGGTTTCAGACAAATAAATATCTCTTTGCTAGCTGTGGTAAGTTTTCTTGCAGTGATAGTGAAGCCTGATTCCTGCTTCTCTGTAGCAGCAGTATCATCTTGAAGACTCTTTCTTTTGATGCCTGGAATTTCTTGAAATGATAGAAAACTTTTTTTTGTGTGTTTTCAAAGGACTACAATTTTAACAAACAAGATGACCAAAGGGCAGCAGTTATATAGGGGGACCAAAGGATTACAGGCCAAGATCAATCTTATTAAAAGGTATAGTTCAGAGGTACTGGAATGTTTTTGTATCTCTTGCTGTTCTGAGTTGTGTTTATAAAAGCTTTCAGGGTGGTAATGTGCCTGCGGTTTCATACCGGTTTCACAACCACTCTTTCTTTGGATAAAATGTCCTGTGACTTCTGACTGGGGGAGCTGTGAGCACTGTTGAATTATTTCTTGAATTCTGCCTACAAACTGCTTTTGTATTGTTATTCATAGGTTGTATGAAATGAAAGTGGAGGATGCAAATGACATAAACTGGGAAGAACTCAGTAATACGATTGGGTAAAGCTTTTTTCCTCTTTTTATGGATACAAAGGATAGTTGAAGCAGTCAGTGTTAAAAATTTCACAAAGGAATCAAAGTTCTTAGACCTCTACAACTATAGAAAATATCATTTAGTTTGGTAATGTACAGGTGTATATCCTTGCATAGTACTGAGCAGTAAACCATGCCTATAAGCTTTGAAACTTTTGTTTAACCACTTGAGGCAACCCTGACTGTATTCCCAGTGCGTTCTGTGTACTAGAACTGCGACTGCATTACGTAGTCTGTGCTAAAGTCTCTGATAAAACACTTTCCTGGGTGTTAAATCAACACATAGGAAGAAGAGATAATTACAGGAAAGTGTAATACAATCTAATAGTCTTCTTCCATACAAAGTAAGTGTTGAATATGAAATTACCAATACTGTGAATGCTGTACTTTCTCTACAGTGCTGTGGTTTTTTTTTTCCTCCACATGCTTTCAGTTTCATTTCCTATTTCTTTTCACTAAACATGTAATACGTATGTATGATGGCATGGTTTAGGTTCTTACCTTCAAGGGAAATTGCTGTCTTGAAAAGCTGTTTTACTTAGAATTTGAAATCCATCCTTTCTACCTAAAGCTAAGATATTGTTTGACTGGCATCACTTTCATGAATGGATAACTCAGTAACAACTAAACGTTTGTACCTAGCACCACTAAATCTTTGAACTCTTCTCTTTTCAGAGATGTCCCTAGAGCCTATGTTCAAGCAAAATTTTATAAGCTAAAAGTCTCCTGTGTCCCTTTTTGGCAAAAAAAGAGTTTTTCTGGTCAGTATCCCAGCTGTTTGTATATACTCCTTATGTTTTTTGCTTGAATCTAAGAGAATATGTATTGTAGTTCAAGTCTTTCTGGTAGCTTTCCCCTAAGTAAACTGGCTAAAAATCTCAGGCTTTATACTTATTTTACTAAATGCTTTTTTAAAAAAATAAGAGTTTACTTTTAATGTCACCATGCAGTGCTTATGTACCTCTTCTTTTTAATACTTTAGCTTTAAAAGTTTTATGACTGCTTTTCTAGTGTATCTTTGCATGCATGTATGTGCATGTCTACCCTGCAGCTGCTGTGATTACTACAGAACGGGAGATTTTTTTCATTTAACGCTGACAAAATAATTTTTGTCTGTGAGATCCTGTTTCCTCTAGGCATCCAGTTCTCCTGCAGACCTGATTAAGACTGCTTTTTTTCTCTCTTTTTTTTTTTTTTTTTTTTCTTCCAAAGAAATTATTGATTATCTTTTCAAAAAGAAACTTCCAGAACTTGAAGAAAACTTAGAAAAAAGGAAGGGGAAACAACTTAGTTCTGACAATTCAACAGCCAGTCAACAGAAGGCGGCTTTCCAACTCAGTGACATTTTTGACTGCAGTGAAGAGAGTGATTAATTGACTGCCCTAAATGGAATTCCTGGTCTGTGTATTGAACTGCAAAATGGATCTGGTTGACGGTGGGTGCAGATCAACAACTGCAGGTGCACAAGCTATCTAATAATGGAAAAAGTATAAAGATACGCATGTCTGATTTTCTTGTTTCGTATTGAAGACTGAGGTAAATACAGCTTTTGTGCCACCTTTCATTACCTTAATTTAGCTCTGGTTTTAGAATTCATTTTAAGCATCCAAGTTGCTCTCTGAATGTCTTAAAGCCAGTATTTTTTCCACTGCTTTGTTTTCTCTGGAGCTGAAAGCTGCTGTTTACCCTTTGTACGTGAACTTGGTTTTCAGAACTTCAATGAGTTTTATACCACTTAAATAAACTATATTCGTGGAATTGGGAAAATTTGCTTTTAAATCTCTAATAAATCTTTAGACATCTGTGATGATGGAAAGAGCACAGGTTTGAGTCTTTGTGGGTTTTTTTAACAGGTGTCTTGTTCTTAAAAGTAACTGGTTTTTATTTTTGATGTAGACTTACACTTTTATCAGCCTTTCTAGAGAAAACAGATTTTTGTCCGTTAGTATTCATAAATTGCAATGTCATTTCATGCTAACCAAAACAATGCATTTAAAATGCTTTTTTAAAATATTTGGAATACAGAGACAAAATAGACAATGTGTATATATATACATACATATATATATTTTTTTGTTGTGCCAAGGAGAATTTACATGTTTCAGTAAGAAAATTGAGAGTTAAGATGGAGGTTGTACTCATGTCTTTGGTATTTTTAACTCTTAGCCTAGAATGATTAATTATAAATTGACCGATTGAATGTAAAAAAAAAAATAAAAATAAATGTGTGTAAAGTATTTGTATGGCTTGTTTCTATTTCCTCTATGCTGTAATAGAAAGTAATGAAAGACTTGGCTTCTGACATACTACTTTTTGATGGTCATTTTGATAAGTGAGAATTTCCTCCTTTAATTTTAAAAATTGTTACAGAAATGTGGAACTTTCAAGGGCTTGAAATAAAGGCCTTGTTGTTGGAGGTTCTTCTGGACTGTGACTTACAGGGAAGAATGCTAAATGAAAACTTCCCATATTTAACTGTGTCTGGCTTTTAATCTCTCTGAAGGCAGAAAACAGTGTGACTTTTGTGAGTCAGGCAGGACCCCATGAGATCAGCCACCAGCACAAGGGTAAGTTTTCCAGGCAAGAGATGAAACGGGATGGGGAGGAAGGAAAAATGTACCAGCTGCCTTGCACTTAGGCATTTGACTTGCTTCTGTTGCCTTACATGATTGAAGGTTAAAAGTGTAAGAACTTGAATTTTTGAATTTAAGCCATTTGTGGTTTTCAGGTTTTATTTCCTGGAAGATGGAGATCTTCTGAATTTTCTGCAGGCTGGAGCACAAACGATAGTGTGGTTGTAGAGTTTGTAGAGTAGATCTCTCAGAAATAAACTGTCTCCAGAAGGAGATTTATTTTATCCTTTGCTTTAAAGGGAAACACAGGTAGGGGAAATGTACCTCACTCAAAAAAGGAGCAGCAATATGTTTTACTGAGGTAAGATAATAATTTGACAGAGTTCAGTAAATTCAATGGAGTTTAACAAAGTTTAACAGTGGTTTACCAAGGTTCAGTAAGTTTGATGGCAAGGTTCACCTTATTACTTCATGGAAAAAACATACAAAGGAAAATGAGTTAGAATCGAGTTAGAATGATTCACACGGAGACTGGAGACGCAAAGTGTAAGGAAGACTCTCTGTCGAGTCACAAGGTTCAGAGTGGACCCCCTTGCTTTCTAATCTCCTGACGGATCCTAGATGCAGCTAGGTCCAGTCTTAGTCTCAGACTTGGACAACGGTTATGTCTAATGGAATTATCTATACAAAGTTTATAGTAATTGATATTGAATAGCTACATGGATTAGTAATGTTTCATTAGTATTAATTCAGCATACTGTCAGTCACTTCCCAAGGATTTGTCATAAGAGAGATCTCTGCCTTGGGCAAGAAAGGATCTCTTAGTCTCAGGTAAGGAATATCAGACCTTGAGAGGTGTCCCTGCTCAGGGAGAGTCACCTGGAATGAGTCCAGGGAGAGCTCAAATTGGGCCTGTCCTGATGGCAATATTTATAGACTGAAGCAGTTGTCTGCTAGTCAGTAGTATAGACAAGATGGATGTCTTCATTTTAGCTTCAGTATCTTGTTCCATACATTGGTTGTCTTGCATTTTGGGGCTTTGAAAACACCTTTTGAAATATTTTTCTGAGGCATCTTTGCTACCTTGTACATGAGCCGGGAGCTCTCCACCTCGTAGTTCACCCCAGGGCGGGAGGCCTGTTGCTCCTTTAAAATGCAATTTCTCTGACAAAAATGCATAAGCAAGCCAGGGTGGGAACTGTAAACTTGGAGCTATGACACAGACCTGACTTCTGCCACACATGAAAAAAAGGAAGAGACTGTGTCCCTCCTTGCCGCAGCTCTGGGAATGGAGTAAGGAAATGGCTCCTCACCTGCATCTCGTTGGGTAATGTGATGTTTGTAATCTGCACAGGAGCAAATAATTGGAAGAGGAGGGATCATTTCACATTTGCTGACTAACGACACTTAAGAGGGCATAAGAAAGCAGCTTTTCCTTTTTCTGTCATTTTATAAAGGCGCATGGGAGCACAGGTGGGGGAGGCAAGTGTTTCATGTGGGCGTTTGAATATTATTGAAAACAGAGCAAGCTCCAGGGAGAGGTTTAAAAAAAACTAAACAGGCTCCACGGAATGGTGACGGAAATAACATTGACAAATCTTTGTGTATCAGGCTGCATTATAAATAAGAGCATGACAGATCCTTCACGTCTAAAAAGCACTCTGAGTCCCCTAAAAACTTCCGTGATTCAAGTAGATATGTCGCTTCAAGCATTTTCCTGGTGTGTTAATGGCCTGAATGGTGTTATAGAAAAAAATTCTTGGCTGTGTGCCGTTATCAAAGACTGAGACAGCCAGGCTACAAGAGTTGCGTTTGCAGCAGAGAAGCACTTCAAAGTTGAGGAGTGTTACGGTGGCAGCAGCTGAAGATCAAACAGGGACTTGCCTTTTTCACCCCCCTCTCCTGCAAAGTCTTAAACAAGGCGTTGAAGAAAGGCAAATAATCTCTGATTCCTCAGAGCTCTTCAGGCTGGGCGACAGCATCACCCCTGGGACCTAGAGGGTCACTAGATGCCGAGGTGGGGACACAAGCCTCGAGCGAGGTGGCTTCGTTCCCCGAGTGCCCAGGCCAAGCCTGAGCCGTGACGGAGGCTCTCCCCCCTCTTTGGGGTGTGCGGGAAGGGGGATGTGGAGGAGGCAGCTTCCCCCCAGGGGTGACTACTTCGGGCCTCTGAGGAACGCCCTGCGCTTGGCTCGATCATGGATTTGGATTATTTTAGGACTGCCGTCATTCTATCCTTGAGGCAGTGCCCTTGGCTTTGCCCTCTGGGGCCCTGACACCGCTTGCTTTTACGTTTGAGCGGAGCTCCCCTTCCCCCCGCCCCGTACCTCAGTTTGCCGTCGCCCCCTGCTCGCCCCGTGTTACTGGCCCTTTAAGGCACCGAAGGGGCGGAGCTTGGCGGACGCGGCCCCGCCCCCGGGAGCCGGCTGGGGCCCACTTCCGCCCGCGGACCGGAAGTGCGGGGGGCGCCACC